ATTTACAAATCACAGTTTGTTGTGATTTATTTTTATAGAAGGTATAACAAGATTGTAATATTCAATGAATGAGAAATACATTGTTTTATTCCAGAGTAGGTAGTATATATTACAAAAGATCTACATGAGTCATGAAGAAATCTTCATAGAACAATTTAGGTATTCAGTGATCTGATTGAATGAGTAGGTACATATATTTTTATGGAACTTGTTGAATAAAAAACTTCAACCATCTGATTCCACTTGAACACAACTAATCATAGGAGTTCCATCATCAGCACTTGAACACTTACGCCAATAGTTCATTTTTGCATATCCTTCTCTTCTGGTGAAATATCTACCCCAGAGTCCAGGATCAATAATTTCAGAATGAAACTTCGAAGCAATTCGTGAAATGTAATCCGATGAGAATACAATGAAGATAGAGTATGTTTCTGTATTGAACCAGTCAGAGCAGCTATTGGTATATTGAGCACAATTGTGGAGAGCGGTGGCACGAGCCACAAAGCAGCTACATCAGTACATGCAACTGTTCCTTATTCGCTAAACAATTGAAACATCTATAGAGATATAACACAAAGCCTCAAGTGCCTCATTCACACTGCCTCTCTTTGTGAATATTTCACCGATACGAAAAATTGCATTAGCTCAACTTGAATATGAATATGAATAACATAAGTTTATCCTTCAAGATGTTCAAGAGAAAAAAGTTACCTTTCCAACCATGACGTAAAAATCATTTATCATCTTCCTCCACTTTCAGGACAGAACTTGCTGAAGAATATTTGTGAGCGCAAAGAGGGTTCCGTAGGTTTACATCTGCTCATGAGTGCAGAAACTGTGGGTCAGTCAGTATAGTAGGAGAGTATAATTATCAGAAAGTCTAATCAGTCAGTAGTTTCAAATGTGAAGGGCTTCGAATCTTTGATCAACATCAGATTCATCAGATATCAACAAACAAATTTTGCTTTCATCGAGATGTTAATGATTTTATGATAGTTTCAGGCATGAAAATGTATTGGTTAGATGAGAAAAATAGACGAAATGAAAATAAATATTCATGTTTACATCTGACCAGCTTCTGGGGTTTTCTGCAATAACTTCTTGAAATATAAACTTTGCATATTGAAGCACAGTAAATATTGATTCAAACACCAGAACACATGAAACTACCAGAATATTTGGGCGATTCTCGCAAAAAACGATTAAATTACAAATGATTTATGATCTTTGTATGCCAACCAGACGCCTAAAAGGTCACGAGTTTCGGATTGCATTATACATAATCTAGTTTCACGATTGAGCTGAACAGCTGATCGTCAAGAGTCGATGTGGGACAAAGAAGAAGGATATTCTGTTTTCTTATGTTCGGTGTTCTTTTCTTCCGTTTTCTCTCAATCTGTTTTCTCTCCTTCTGTTTCCTCACTAACTGTCTGGTGAATTCAGCGGGATGTTGGTAACCTATGGGTAACCAGTTGGCCGGTTATTAATTCCGTTGATGCGTGCGACTCGAGAGAGAGAGAGAGAGAGAGAGAGAGAGAGAGAGAGAGAGAGAGAGAGAGAGAGAGAGAGAGAGAGATATTTGTTGCATCTGAAATGGTTTCCGCCGAATTTGGAGATTGCTGGTTCCGAACTCGCTTTCGTATGAGCCAAAACACGGCGAAGGAACATCCACTCCCTGAACCGGATTTTTATCATTATGATTTTGGAGATTGGATACAATAGAACGTAGGATACGATCGAAGTCTTTCATTTCGTTGAGTGTAACTTATCGTATTTCATTTAGTTGATTACCACTAGTGGTGGGATCAAGATTGGCTTCACCAACTTCATTCTGGACTTGGAGTTCAGGACATCCCTGCCATTTTCATCACCACGTGAAGCACACATCCCATCAAAGGTATGTGATATTCAATGAACTGTTCAAGTGATAATGTCTCTCAACATCCAATAAACCCAAAGATTAACGAATGTTTTTTTTTTAGGACTACTTGGTCTACTTGGTCTATTTGGTCTACTAGGTCTACTGGGTTTACTCGGTTCACTTGGTTGTCTTGGTGTCACTACATTGTCTACGTGCTATTCTTTTATGTTTATTGTCTTCTGTTGAGAAGTGGAAGCTAGCAAGTTGAAGTTACAAATTTCGTCTCCTGTATGATTAATTCTATGGTTGTCGAATAAGGAGTCTCACTAACTAGCTGCTGTCTACTTGCCTGCAGTATTTACCATAGGATTAACAGCATCATAATGCTTTGGGCCATCCAGAACTGTACTGTCTAGAAGGTGGAAGTACAGTAGGAACGTAGTACACTAAAATAAGATCCATCTATCTGGTAAGCGTCTTACAGCATATTTTGAGGCACAAATACCTTGTTATTGAGAAATCTACTGAAACTATCCCATAAATCTTCTCTGAAAGTATACAATCAATCATTTGATTTTGGATGAATAGGCCATTTCTTTTATTAAGTAAAAGTTCTTTGTGAACTGAGGTGATCACCAAGGTATAGGAAACAATACTGTGTTTTGTTTTGTGAAATTTGTATATCGCTACTTCAACTCCCCAGAAGTCAAAACGTATGCGAGGTTAGGAAGAGCGGGACCTACAGCTCACGGTGGATTCCAAACTTTTACTAGCTCAACGAGGTTCTGCCAGAATTACAACCACACACATTTTGAAGAAAAATGCTCAGCCGATAGCCGGATTCGAACCGACAGTACCTTCGCATCGTGAACGGCTATCTAGCGAATTTCAGCGCATAGACAAACTCGACCACGGCGCCTTTATAATTACATAGTATTTGCCGTCAATATGAAAAAACCCACCAACTTGAAACACATTGAGAGGGGCCTAAAATCAAAACTTCAATTACATGAACAGCTCCTGTTGATTTGTTCTATCGAAGTATGTATACATTGAACTCTCTACCACTTTCATTCACACCAACCTCACTCACACCAACCTCACTCACACCAACCTCACTCACTCCACCTCCCACTGAGCTAGTCATTGTATGAATGGGTCATTTTGAACACCAAAATTTTTGTCACCAACATAATTATATTCAGCCACCACATCAGGGTTAAAGGGATATCAGCATTTGAAGGAATTTTTATCAAAAACTTCCTACCCTTCAAAAAAAATAGTAATGATCTGTTCTCCAGGAATATCGATTCAACTGATAAGACAATACGAAATGAGTGCATGTTTTCACATTTTCCAGTAGAGTTTCGAATTCTTCAGACCTTGTTTATTCTAGACAATTATTACAAAGCTCACACGAAACAGTCTTGGAAGGTTGCCACTATACCCAGTGAGTTGGAAATATCTATTGATATGAATGCGAATTGTGCGTCGAGTGAATTTAATTCTAGTTTTCATAAAATAATTTGATATAAATTCATTATCATATCCATTCATTAAAGATTGACCATTCGAAAGATTCAAATCATATACATTTCCAGTGTACTTATATCAATAATGAACTCGGATTTTCATTTCTTGCAGAAATTTACTGTTTCTAATATAATTTGACACTTCTCGAAACTGACAAGAGTTTTGGAACGTCTCACTTTACGTTGCGTAGAGTGTAACTCTGTAATTTGCGGGAACCCGTTTCGCCCATGCCGCAAAATTTCCATCCAGAGGAAAATTTCTGTTATCATTCCATCACCAGCAATACCATTCAGATGAACATGACAAGCCCATCCATCACATTTGATTTTGATCAACGTTATAGTGAAGATTTATATGAACAGAAAAGCCAGAAGGAGAAATAACATAACCCAAAAATTCGGAATTTCTGTAGAAATCTGGGTCGATCAATGATTGGCTTATGCCAAACTCGATTCATAATTTTATTGGATTTAATAGATAGAATTAGTTGAGAAACATTTTCGAGAATTCCTCATTACTATACATTTAATTTCAGGGACAAACTGTTTTAGTGGCGATAATTTCAAGTCATCAACTGAAAACTATACAGGGTCGCTGATATGTATGGAAACAGGTGAATATCTCGGTAACCTGTTGTTGGATTTTTTTGAATTTATGTACTGTGTGATTTCAGAACGTGGCAGATTTGAAAATGTTATAGCCAATGTTGCCACTTTTTCAGTTATACCGGATTTTTTATTAACTTCCTTATTTTGAATAGAACACCCTGTAATTCATTGGATTTTCAGATTCTTCCTGAAGAGCTAATTCCATCGATCTATCACACTTGGGGTCTAGCAGGAATGAATACATAGGTATAGGGTGTTTAAAATCTAGATTTTTCAACTCTAGTATTTTTTTGTGTCGAAACTATTCATTATCGATCAAAACCGCTCCATTGTTTCCATCTTTACTTCTGATTTACTATCCACTGACATTTAATTGAAACAAATACAGGGTGGTTCAAGATTCAGAATTCTGATCACCCTCTGTATCTGTTCCAATTAAATAGTCAGTAGATGGTAAATCAAAAGTGAAGATAGGAACATTGAAGCGGTTTTGATCGATAATGGATAGTTTCTACACAAAAAAATCTTGAAGTTGAAAAACCTAGATTTTAAACACCCTATACCTATGTAATCATTGCCGCTCGACCCCAAGTGTGATAGATCGATGGAATCAGCTCTTCAAGGAGAATCTGGAAATCCAATAAAGTACAGGGTGTTTCATTCAAAATAAGAAAGTTACTAAAAATCCGGAATAACTGAAAAAGTGGCAACAGAGGCTATAACATTTTCAAATTCGCCACGTTTTGAAATCACACTGTACATAAATTCAAAAAAATCTAACAACAGATTGCCGAGATATTCACCTGTTTCCATACATATCAGCGACCCTGTATATAGATGTACACCTTCAATATCGAATATATTCAAATAGGAGACGATTCACGAGAAGAATATGAAACTACCACTATTACTATTAGTACGACTAATAAACAATTTTTAGTCGTATGGTCATACAACACCCTTTATATCATGCATGATAGTTCGTACAGACTTACTTCTATCAGCCATGGTTTCAGCTTGTTGTCAATGATTATATCATATCCATAACATTCGAAGCAATGACGATCGGTCGCAATAACTGGGGCAATGGCTTTCAAAGAGTGGATAATCAACCAGCTTATTTGATCGAATAATTTCTCAGTTACTTGTTTTCCTCTGGTACTTTCCAAATGCAATCGCAAATTTTGAACGCTCAGTTTTCCACCATGAAGAGAATTATATTCACCCTAAAAATATCAACCATTGTGAAATTTGTTCTGAAAAATTGTCTCATATCACATTTCTCATATATATACACAAGGTATCCTCGAACTCAGAATCTTATGCGCTTGCTCAGATAATCCAAAATTATCCTCCAATGATTCAATAAATCAGGACACATTTTCGAAAGCATTATAGCCTTCTTTTGAACCAGAGTATATATATTTTTCAAGGTATTCAAGCTGATCAGTTCAGATAATTTTTGATAAGTTATGTTGTCAGTTCATGGAACATATATTTACAGAACAGACTATGCAGGGACCTCTCGGAATTTCAGATATATAAAAATCAGCTAATCCATCGTAACTATTGAAAGAATTAAATCACGTTCAGGAGATATGTCGTTTTGAAGCGAACCGTGTGTTTCGGAAAATCTCCTTGAAAAACCCACTTGGAATCTTCCGATCCTGATCAATTTCAATAGGCTTCGTCTCTTCCTGATAGAGTTTTTTTTCACAAAAACTTAAATCGATCGGACCACTTTTGCGATTTGTAGAGTGGTCACAAGAAACTTCCGGTGAAAAATCGAAAAAACCTGGAAAAACCACCTTAGAGTTTTCTGATTTCCGTCATATTTTAATGACATGATATTGTTTTGAGTACAATAAGGTGGCAAAATTTCAAGTCGATATGTCGAAGGGTTCCGGAGATATATCGATTTATGATTACCACAGAGTACAGAGAGACAGACAGACCACACACAAAAACCAAAGTTGCTCAAAATTTGATGAGGATCATTGTCTTCAAAGTAAATATACCTCTATCTCGCTTAGTTTCCGAGATAGCATTTTTGGCAAGGCCGTAGTATACTCCACTATGTATAGCGTCGTATAACAAGTGAGGTACGTAGTTTTTGAAAGGTATCAGATTAGTATAGATGTAGTTTTCATTAGGTATTAGATTTGTATAGGGGTCAGATAATTTATACGACGCTATAAAAGCAGATGATATTTTATCATTGAAACTATCATTGGGCACCAAAGATGTGTTGTATACGACGCTATGAAAGTTCAGAGAACTGGAGATTTTTCCTACAAACTACGTACTTAGCCCACTCGACTGTCTTGGTTTTTCCACATAAATTACGTACCTAGCCCACTCGACTGCCAATAGGGACTGAAAAAACAAAAACAAAAGAAAGTTTAAACTTTGCCAACATATTTCTTCTTTGTGGGCAATCAAGACAGTCGAGTGAGCTAGGTACGTAGTTTATGGGCAAAAAATTTAGACAGTCGAGTGAACTAGGTACCTAGTTTATTGGCGAAAAATAAAGACAGTCGAGTGAGCTAGGTGAGTAGTTTATGGGAAAAAAATCAAGACAGTCGAGAGGGCTTTTTTCACTTTCTTTTGTTTTTTGTTTCGTTTTCTATTGGCAAGTGATTATCTAGAAACTTGTGAATTTTTTAGTTTTTTTATCGTATCTCCCGAACTATTGAATTCAGAGAAAAATGTTATTGGGATTTCTTGTATATTCTATCAAAAGGAATAATTTTGGTTCCATAAAATTTTCAGATATTTCCAGTTGTTTTCGAGATATTTGGAATCATCTGAGAATAAAATTTTCAACACTTTTGTTCCATCTTCCAATCAACAAAATGAGAAAATATTCCATGGTTCAGTGGAAGTCGATGAGCTTCATCTATCGATAATCTTTGTTTTTCAATATATCTTCATAGTACCCTATGGGTCGTTTAATTGTTTTTTTCATATTTTTTATTTTATTTCCTGTACTATTGGGATTACAGAAAAAATTATGGGGAATAATTTGTAGGACATGTTCCAGTGGATAACTTTGCACTTCTGATAATTTTCGATTTTTCCATTTGTTTTCGATATATATTGAATTGAAAGGATTTCAAATGTTGATGTTTTGATTTTCATTTGTTTCTCCATTTTCTGATGGATGCACGAAAAAATGGTTCAATAATAATTTGTTGCGTCATCAAAGAGGCATACGGTGCATTCTTCAAATTTGGATTTAGTCTATTGGTTCAGGAGATATGTCGTTTTAAAGCGAACCGTGTTTTTCGGAATATCTCCTTGAAAAACCCACTTGGAATTTTCCGACCCTGCTCAATTTCAATAGGCTTCGTCTCTTCCTGATAGAGTTATGTTTCACAAAAAATGAAATCGATCAGACCACTTTTGCGATTTGTAGAGTGGTCGCAAGAAACTTCCGGTGAAAAATCGAAAAAACCCGGAAAAACCACCTTAGAGTTTTCCGATTTGCTTCATATTTTAATGACATAATATCGTTTTGAGTACAATAAGATGGCAAAATTTCAAGTCGATATGTCAAAGGGTTCCGGAGATATATCGATTTATGATTAACACAGAGTACAGACAGACAGACAGACAGACCACACACAAAAACCAAAGTTGCTCAAAATTCGATGATGATCATTTTCTCCAAAGTAACTATACCTCTATCTCGCTTAGTTTCCGAGATAGCATTTTTGGCAAGGCCGTAGTATACTCCACTATGTATAGCGTCGTATAACAAGTGAGGTACGTAGTTTTTTAAAGGTATCAGACTAGTATAGATGTAGTTTTTATTAGATAATAGATTAGTATAGAGGTCAGATAATTTATACGACGCTATAAAAGCAGATGATATTTTATCATTGCTCATGTAGGATGGAAGTAGATGCCATGGCATATTTTTATATTGAAACTATCATTGGGCACCAAAGATGTGTATACGACGCTATGAAAGTTCAGAGAACTGGAGATTTTTTCCACAAACTACGTACTTAGCCCACCCGACTGTCTTGGTTTTTCCACACAAACTACGTACCTAGCCCACTCGACTGCCAATAGGGACTAAAAAAACAAGAACAAAAGAAAGTTCAAACAATGCCAACATATTTCTTCTTTGTGGGAAATCAAGACCGTCGAGTGAGCTAGGTACGTAGTTTGAGGGAAAAAATCGAGACAGTCGAGTGTGCTTTTTTTACTTTCTTTCGTTTTTTGTTTGGTTTTCTATTGGCAAGTGATTATCTAGGAACTTATAAATTGTTTAGTTTTTTCATCGTATCTCCCGAACTATTGGATTCAGAGAAAAATGTTATACGGATTTTTTGTAGATTCTATCAAAGGGAATAATTTTGGTTCCATAACATTTTCAGATGTTTTCAGTTGTTTTCGAGATATTTGGAATTATCTGAGAAAAAAATTTTCAACACTTCTGTTCCATCTTCCAATCAACAAAAGGAAAAAATATGCCATGGTTCAGTGGAAGTCGATGATCTTCATCTATCGATAATCTTTTGTTTTTCAATATATCTTAATGGTACCCTATGGGTCGTTAATTTTTTTTTACAGAAAAAATTATGGGAAATAATTTGTAGGAAATGTTCCAGTGGATAACTTTGCACTTCTAATAATTTTCGATTTTTCCATTTGTTTTCGATATATATTGAATTGAGAGGATTTCAAATTTTGATGTTTTGATTTTCATCTGTTTTTCCATTTTTCGATGGATGCACGAAAAAATGGTGATATAATAATTCGTTGCGTCATCAAAGAGGCATACGGTGCATTTTTCAAATTTGGAATTAGTCTATTGGTTCAGGGGATATGTCGTTTTAATGCGAACCGTGTGTTTCGGAAAATCTCCTTGAAAAACCCACTTGGTCTTCAGTATCAAACATTTTTAAAAAGGTAAAATACCATCCTTATAAAGTACGTCTCATCCATGAATTGGCTGAAGACGACTTTGACCGAAGAACTGAATTCTGCGAGTATATGATGAACCAAAATAACAATTTCATTGATAACGTTTCATTTTCGGACGAGGCAACGTTTTATTTGAACGGTCATGTTAACCGGCAAAACACCCGTTATTGGTCTGATGAAAATCCACACTGGATGCAAGAGTAGCATACACAAAGACCACAAAAAACTAACGTATGGGCTGGTATTGTGAGAAATACAATTATTGGTCCATATTTTTTTGATGAAAACATAACAGGAGCATTATATCTGGATTTCCTACAAAATACATTAATTCCTGATCTGATCCAGCTTTTTCCTGATATTCAAATACCCACTAATGTAGACCGCAGAATCTGGTTTCAACAGGATGGCGCACCGCCACATTTCGCAGTAACTGTGCGCGATTTTTTAAACACAACTTTTCCACAAAGGTGGATAGGAAGAAGGGGACCAGTGGAATGGCCTGCTGGTTATTCAAAATCTAAAGTCTACTTAAACAGACCTGGAAATATCCATCAACTACAAGACCGAATCAGACAAGAAATACAGAGCATAACACCCGCTATGCTGCAGAATGTTAGAGACGAAAGTAATGCCCGGTTCATTCATTGTCTAACGGTCAATGGAGAACAATTTGAACATTTATTGTGAATTTTCGTTTGTTTGTTTGTTTTTGGAAGTGTATCACATCAATTGCATAACTACATAATTCCATTTAATTTGTTTATTACATTCAGTAACGTATTACTTTCCATAAACAATTTTCATTTTTTTTGCATTTTTGCCCACCCTGTACCAATTTGAAGCAACATATCATACATTCTTGGAATCAGCTCAGCAAGGGCAATTCTGAAATTGAAAAAAAGGGGGGTTCCATTTGAAAAAAATGGTGATGACGTCATTACACGAAAGTGGTTCACCCTGTATATTAGATTATGATTTGGAACAATAGTAAATTGAAATCAAAAATCGACCTGTTTCGGGAATTTCTAATTTTATTGTTCATTTAGCCAATAATGAATTTATGCGTTACTTTATGGACGCACTGTTGTATGATTTTGTTCAGCTTCCTTTCCAGTAGCTTTCATGTGCTAGGATAACATCTGTCTCCATTTGCCCCAAGACTGTTTTCCTTCTGTGATGTTGAATGGGTGCGGGAATTTGAATTCCATCTGACACTATGTAAGGCAAATATACTTATTCTCATATTTTTATTGATGCTTCGATATTCAATTATGTTCAGTATTATATTATGTATGTCACCCTGACATGTGTATTCGTGGTCATGATCACCTACATGAAACATTACATTTTTCAGAGGCAACTATAAATCTATATAAGATAACAATGTATGAGCGAACTGAGAGTTTCTTGTGCAAGAAGATCAAATTACATAGAATTTCCATAATATTACGATGTCCTGTATTTCAAAATGATTGCTGTACGGCAACACAATTGAGTTAGCAAGAGATAGAATTATGAGGATATATTCAGAACAGAGTGGTTTTTTGCTAGACTTTTTAGCATAAAAACCATTTATTATAAATGAATGGTAACATCATTGAAAACATCAACGCCAATAAGAATTATTGAGAGACAACAAAAGTTTTCGCGATAAGCACACGTTGTCTCTGGTTTGTGATAGGTCAGATTAGGTGATGAGTGGAATAGTCAACATCATTGTCCTAGAAAACCATAGTGCATTCTAGATTTGAGATATGCATTTTCATATGCTGATAAACGGAATGATATTCAGCCGAATGAAATGGAAACTAAAGTTTGCAAACAGAAATTTTTTGTTTTTCACCCGTCACTCGGAAACCATAAATTCTATCAAAAAGACAAGTTCGCAGAAGAATCAGGTAGAAAAAATGTATATACAGGGTGTCCCGAAATAAGCCTGCCAAACTTCACCAACGGCTTCTTCGACGAAAAATAGGAAGAAAAGTTCCAATGAACATGAGTCTCCTTAGGGAGCTACGGCCCCCTGGAAGGGGGCTCCTGAAGATGATATTTCTTGAATATTTCCGAAACGTCACGTGATGAGATGATGCAATTTGGCAGAAGAAACAAACTTTCCATGCCGAATGCGGTGAATATAAAATCATTTCAGAGTTTCATTCAGGAATGTATAAGACAGGGTGGAACTACATTGAATATTGCTCAAACTTTTTCGTGTGCATAGTTTTTGACAATTTAATCTGTGATTATGAAAATCCAGACCATTTTTAAGAAAAAAAGTGCTCCTGTTCCGCATCGATCAGATGTATCATTCTCGATTGAAATCGATTCAAAAATATTGATGCACTGACATCTTATGCATAACGTTGCCAATTTTCAAATCATAGTGGCTATTAAAAAATCAAGTACTCTCTTTTTACCAAACAATCTCAAAAAAGCGCGAAAAATGAAAAAATATCATGAAAAAACTACTCAATTATTTGTTAATTTTTTTTTTCGTTTTCACTACGCCTCATTGAAATGGTATGCGTAATATCTGAGATGTAACAATATTTTCAAATTGCTTTTACTCGATAACAATACATCTGATCGTCACGGAACAGGAGTACCTTTTTTCTGTAAAAAGGTGTGAAATTTCATAATCCGAGATTGAATTGTTGAAAAATATGCATACAAAAAATTTTGAGCAATATTTAATGCAGTCTCGCCCTGTATTATACACTCTTGATTAGAATTTTGAAATAATTTTATCCTCACTGCATTGGGTATGGAAAGTTTAGTTCTTGTACCAAATTAGTTCAGATGGGGTTTCGGGAATACTCAAGAAATATCATCTTCAGGAGCCCCCTTTTAGGGGACCGTAGCTCCCTTTGGAGACATTTCTCGACTCATGTTCATTGAAAGTTTTCTTTCTATTCTTGGTAGTAAAAGCCGCTGGTGAAGTTTGGCAGGCTAATTTGGGGACATCCTGTATAATTTTTCTTGTTCATGCATGTAGGATTGACGGATGAGGAGCTAGAAGACATTAGAAATCGACAAGATCCGCGTACTTTGCAAAAAATAGCGTTTTTTGTCGTATTTCGCAAATAATTCATGATCTACGCATTTCTGGATAAAATGAACTTCACTGCCATATACGATTTGCTGTAAAAGTATTCCTTTTTACACCTATATCTCCGCAGTCGTCCAAAAATATTTCCATTCAAAAGCCGCCTTATCATTCTGCACGGGAAAAAAAGGAAGAGTGCAATATGGTAAAATATTCTCTGCGCATATTTTAACCAGGTGTGACACACAACGTCTGTCTTATTCGGGCATAGGAAAAATAAAAGCCCTAGAGATGCTTCAACATAAAAGACCACCTGAGAGTATTCAATGACCCTGAGGCAGATTTGGAGGATCTCATGAAGGCTGGAGGAATATTTCAGGCAGTCTTTTACTTATCTCAGGATCTACCGAAGCCGTTGTCTGATATAAAATACAATACGATGTTCAAGACATCTGCCATCAAGTGAGCATCAAACATCGCCATTTTCCCTCCAACAAGGGCTGCCAGCTCTCCAGCATCCATTGCGAGTATATCTGCAGGTGCAACTATGGATAGACGAGGACAACTTCACGAGGACACCTGAGGGATTGAGATGGAGGAGAACTGTAAACTGTAAACGGCCCATTCCTACAACTTACCTCTCTCCTGAAAACCTGCCTCACCTTCTGTCGTTCAGTGCCGCTGCATAAAAAATTGCGACTGCAAAAAAGCTTTTGTTTGCAAAAATCGTGAATTGAACTTCAGCAACACCGTGCAGTATGATCAGGAGAACGACCAGGATCTTGATGATCCCAATGTCGATTAAGTCATCACTTAGAGGTTTCACCTCTATTCACTCTTTTACTACAATTACACTTCTATAGTTACAGGGACTTGAACCCACCCCTACAGGTTAGTTATCTAACTTATAGTTATGTTTATGCATTTCTCTTCCAGACCTCCATATGGAGGATGAGGGTACCCTGCAGCAGAAATATTTAAACACAACTATAATTCTACCCTATAGAATACAAAACAAATAAATAAAACGAAATTTAGTGCAAAGGATGAACTCGAGTGTAAAAACTACGACGAGAATACTTCTCCCAGAAACATATGAGAACGCAGAGGAACCGACTACCTGAATTTTTTCCACGAGAGGATTTTCATCGTTACTGTTTTACTAAGCTAATTGTAACAGTAGCACGTTCTCTTCGCGCTATATGGATGGTTAGGAAAATCGGTATAGGTCCTTACCATCCCTTATATCTAATATCAGCTGTGTACGATTATTATCGAAATATATTATTTTACTTACTCCATGTTTTTGGACGGATACATTGGTCAAATGAACGTACATATTATCCAATTCAGCAACGCTGGAGTCATACTTAACAGTACAGAACCTGCAGAATCCAAGTCGAAACTGATATGCTTTCAATGGTCTGAATGATGTGACGAGAACATAGAGCCTCAAATCAAATTTCTTGCCTCCAATGAGAAGTGGATCATCGATGTATCTTAAACAAAAAATACAAACTCCATTCTTATGTCAACATGTTATAAATTGTCAAACTGGTTGAAACCTATAATGTTGTCTTGAGACCAATTATTGTTATCGCGAAGTTTCGAGAATCCTTCGACAGAAAATGACACTACTTTTCAAAATATTTGAGCTACCAAACGCTGGTTACTTTCGTCAAACAATATGATCTGATTTTCCTGAGGTTCCAGAAATATACAGGGTGTCCGGGAACATGTGGGAAATCTCCCGGATATGAAGAAAACACGTGAAAAGAATACTATAAGTTCATATAAACTTCTTTTGTATCGGCCTCCTTTTCGGAGATATGGGCTCCCAAAGAGCTCCCATGGAATTAAGTTTTTGACACATAATTCTTGAACCAACAGGTATATTTCAATTTTTTTTTAATATGATGTATACTAGGTAAGACTCTTCAAATAACTATCCAAGAAAGTGTTGCGAATGACTCACAGCTCCAGGGACGGACTAGCTGTGACACTCATGGGCCCATTTTTTTTACGCCCTGTATGATAAGAACTCTGGACAACGTTTTTTACATACCTCTAACTATTGACTAAAAATTAATTACTCTTCATTCATGTCGCTAATCATAACCGTTTTCGGAAAAACGTCATTTTATTTATATCATGTATTTAGCGTATTTCGATAAAAGATACTTTTTTTTCGAGTTACCTTTGCAAACGTTGCTAGGTTAGAAATAAATAAATATCCTTCATTTTAGAACTTGTCGACTTTCACATTACTGATACATTGATTCCTTATTACTTTGATATTTGATTTTTGAATTTCGTTGTGAAATTAATTGTGAAATAATTCGAAATATGGAATACACGTTTATTGAGTATGCAGATATGCATCTGATGTATGGTCTTGCATCTTCCAATGCTTTGGAAGCCAGAAGGTTATATCACGACAGATTTCCTAATCGCACTCTTCCAGATCAGAAGACATTTCAACGAGTTGACCAACGTCTAAGGGAGAATGGTGGGCGATTCTTCTTAATAAGGTATAATAAGGTAATGTTATTTACTTCTTTCATAATTTTAGGAAATTTTGGAAAAAGAAGTAATAATACTGGTCAGGGAAGAACAGTACGTACGCCGCAATTAGAGGAAAATATTTTAAATGCTGTATATGATACTCCTTCAACGAGCACTCGAAAATTATCAGCGCAGTTTAATGCGTCGAAAACAATAGTACATGAAGTTCTTCAAGAACAACTGTTATACCCATATCATTTGCAAAAAGTGCATGAACTGATTCCTGAAGATTTTTCCCGTAGAATGCATTTTGCAAACTGGCTATTGGATCAGCAACGAAATAATGTAAACTTCATTAGCACTATTCTCTTCACGGATGAAGCAGGTTTTACCAAAAATGGTATCATGAATTTACATAACACCCATGTATGGGCTGATGAAAATCCTCATGCCACTATTGTTTCGCATCGCCAACATCAGTTCCAATCAATTAATGTCTGGGCAGGAATCGTTGGCAATTTTTTGATTGGACCATTCGTATTGCCGGCACGATTGAATGGAATACTTCATTTGGAGTTCCTCCAGAACGCTTTTAATGATTTAGTCGAGCACTTACCACTTGAAACCCGCCGAAACATGTACTTTATGCTTTTATATTTCCACTGTAGTAGCAATATAACTCGTATGTAGAATGTAGAATAATATATTTATTCAAGAAATAGAATCATTTACCAATTTCAATAACAAGCGAATCTACAATTATTATTCATTGTCATAACGATTCTCGGTACAGGGTGCTACCGAATCCACAAATATACAGTATGTGAAATGAAAACATAACAGTTTTCTCCCCTTCTCGTGAATACGAAATCAATCTTATGAGAAACCAAATCGAGAAACAGGTTTTCTTGTTCTCTGTGATCTGCGCAAGGTTGTTTCTGAATTGATAAGACTTTCAGGTTCAGAAGACAAGGAATTTGATGATGGTGTCTAAATATCCTGATTTGGAATATTTCTACTAGGAACGTTTGGTGTACTTGAAAGATTGTTATCAGCTGAAAAACTAGAGTTACTGGGTATTGCCTTATTACTGTCGGTATCTTCCGGATACGAGTAATAATATTGATCACTTTGTGGAGTATTTTCCCCTATAGATCTAATTTGATCTAAATGTCGTTTCCAAATTCTAGAATCATCTAATCTGATTAAATAGTGTAATTGTCCCAACCTTTTATGAACACGTCCAAATTCCCATTTTGAATCACTCAAATAGTTACGCACCGCAACTCTCTTGCCTACCGAAAATTCACGAGTTTTTGAATCTGTAGAAATTATCTTATCTGGGAGAGGTTCGATAAGTAAATCCAGCCTAGATCGAATATCTCTACCGAACATTAATTTTGACGGACTAACACCAGTAACAGAATGAGGCGTTCTCCTGTAATATAGTAAAAATTGACATAATTGTTTAGATCTATCTGAATCATTCCCTTTCATAGCACGTAAAGCCTGTTTGAAAGTTTGCACATATCGTTCTGCTAATCCATTTGTAGCCGGGTGATATGGAGCACTCAATTTGTGTATGATACCATTCTGCTTTAGAAACATTTGAAAATCATGAGAAACAAATTGGGCTGCATTATCACTCACCAGAATACAAGGAATTCCGAAAGTTGAAAATATTTTTCTGCAAAGCGAAATGGTGGAACTTGTATTTATAGATCTAAGCATATGGATTTCTGGCCAACGAGTATATGCGTCAACTAAAACAAAATAGTAAGAATTGAAAAATGGCCCTGCAAAATCGATATGTACTCGTTGAAATGGTTCTTTAGCTTGTTCCCACGGATGAATAGTCACTACAGCCGGATTATTTTTGAATTTGTTACATTCTGCACAGTTTTTTACCAAATCTTCAAGATCATCTGTAATACCTGGCCACCAACAATAACTTCTTGCCAATGCTTTCATTTTGAACATACCAAAATGTGCAACATGTAACTCATTCAAAATCCTTCTGCGTAAAATCTTAGGAATAACTACTTGTTGGCCTCGGAAAATGCAACCATTTTGAAGTGAAAACTCTGATTCGTTTACGTTGAACCGATCATTACGATTTAACTGCTTACCTGTTCTCAGGAATTCAAGTAAATTAGTCAAAGTAGTATCTTGAATCGTTTCATGAGCTAAGTCTCTCATTGAAATAGGAAGAGTTTCAATCTGATTAATTTCAAACACATCAGTTTCATCGTAGATATCCAGTTGTGAACTATTCACTGGTAATCTGGACATTGCATCAGCATTAGCATGTAGCTTTGTATTTTTGTATTCGATTTTGTATTGAAAAGATTGTAAAAATATTGCATAATGTGACATACGTGTAGCAGTCAATGTAGAAATACTCTTTGAAGGAGAAAAAATATGCAATAATGGTTTACTATCTGTAAAAATTGTAAAAACTCTTCCGTACAGGTAATAATAGAATTTTTTTACTCCAAAAATTATGCTGTATGCCTCTTTATCAATCTGAGCATACCTTTGTTGAACGCTAGATAAAGTTTGTGAGGCGAATTGAATCGGATGCTCACTTCCATCTGAAAATACATGAGATAAAACTGCACCCACAGCGTAAGGGCTAGCATCTGTAGCTAGAATTAAAGGCACTGATGGATCAAAATGAGCTAAAACTCGTTCAGATTGAATCTCTTTCTTAATTAACTCGAAAGCTTCTTGACACTGGGTGTCCCATTTGAATCTGACGTTATCTTTGAGTAAGTTATTCATAGGATATAGTTTATGGCTAAGATTTTCCAAAAATCTTCCGTAATAATTCACCAAACCTATAAATGCTCTGATCTCAGTTTTATTCGAAGGTTGTTTTGCATTCTGAATTGCCTCGACTTTTTCTTGAGATTTGTGAATACCAAATTTATCAATAACATATCCACAATATTCTATCTTATCTTCCATGAATCTACATTTCTCCAAATTTACTCTTATATTATGATTAGCAAAACGTGATAAAATCAAATCTAACCTTTCGAAATGTATCATAGTATTTTCAGCAGTTACTTTAATATCGTCCAAAAATACTGAAACACCAGGTATATCTTTCAAAATATTTTCTATTTCTCGTTGCCAAATAGCAGGAGCACTAGATATACCAAACATCAAACGTGTACTTTGATATAACCCTCTATGAGTACTCAGAGTAAGAAACTTCCTACATTCTGGAGCAATCTCTAACTGTAAATAGGCTTGACTTAAATCTAATTTTGTAAACTTATCCCCTCCAGCCATAGATGAAAATAGGAAATCAATGGATGGTAGTGGATGCTGATCAACAATCAGTTGAGGGTTTAATGAACTACGAAAATCACCGCATATTCTTATCCTTCCATTTGCTTTCACCACCGGTACAATGGGTGTAGCCCAATCGGAGTGATTTACCTTCACTAAGACACCTTCTTTTTCTAATAAATCAAGTTCATTTTCGATTTTAGGTAATAGTGAAAATGGAACTTTCCGAGCTTTTATGAAAACTGGCTGAGCATTTTCTCTAATTTGTATCTTAGCTTGCAACCCTGTAATTTTCCCAATATTTTCTTGAAAAATTATTGGATACTTATCTAATAATTTTTGCAAAGCTCCCTTTGTATCTTTAATTGACATATGATTAACATCATTCAAAACTATTCCTAGTTGTCTCAGCCATTCGCGCCCCAATAGTGGACTTCTATCAGTTTGAACTATGTAAATATTAAGCTCTTTTACTCTATCTTGATATCGAACTGTAACTTCTGCAAATCCCATAACATTCAAATCATTCTTGCAGAAACTAACTAATTTGATATTTGTTTCCTGTAGTTCTAAATTCGGATATAAATCCTTGAATAATTTCAAACTCATTATGCTTACAGCAGCTCCACTATCCGCTTCCATTTGTAAATGAATACCGTTTACTCCAACAGAAATCATGAATTTATCTCTGAAT